TGGTCTCTTCCCTCTCTGGGGGATGTGAAGTTAATTGGAGCCTGGCAGGGGGCTGTGTGTTTCCCTGAGTTTCCATGTTTTGTGTTCCTGTTCTGCTGTGTCAGGCCCATTAGTGGGAAATGGGACAAGTTTAGCTGGCCCAGTGTGTGCTGGAGGAAAGAAGGCTTTGTGATAACATTCTCTCAATGTATCAATTCAGTTCCTGCCTATCGCCCTTGAAGCATCCAGAGCATCACTGCATAGCTGGGCTGCAAAAATGTTTGGATGGCTGCCGTCTCTTTGTCGTTGGTACCTCCTGTAAGGTTGTGGCAGGGCCAGGCCCCATCTCCTCTTCGAGTGGAGGCAAGAGGCCTCCCTGAGCTGTTTGTTGGCCTCTCTCCTGCTGTTCAAGCCCCAGATAATGAAGACTTGGCAAATAGGTCAAATCACCTAGCCACACTGTCTTTGTGGAGTCATGGAATGTCATTTTGGAAGGGTGCTTTAGAAATCATCTAATCAAGTCCCCCTCATGTTACTCATCCATCAACAAGCATTTATTAAGCACTTAATATATGCCAGACTTCCATGGATAACCTGAATTAGTGCTTCAGAAAAATTGCTGAGTACAGGATCTGGAGGCTGAGGATCTGAGTCTGCATTCTAATTGTATGACCGTGGCTAAGTAACCTAACTTTCCTAGACTTTGTCAATTCTCCCAACTATAAAATGAGAGTGATGGGTTAAGGCGACCAAGTTCCCTTCCGCCTCTAAATCTACTTTGTTCTTTGTATCAGGCCAAAGAAACAATGATGATGGGGAAGGGAGGGGTGGGGAGAGAAGTTTCTGGTTTTTACCTGTAGCGGGCAACACACAGATGAACCTTCCCCGAGTATTTCTGCTTTGAGGTATTGGAATTCCGTTCATTATCCATCTATTAAAAACACAATGAATTCTTTGGTTGTTGAGGCTGTTATATATGAGAGCTCAATGTTACAAACCCATGAGAGTTCCCATTCCTGACCCTGTATTTTCTCCACTTACACCAGAAAAATGACCTAAAAATTATGGCATTTCCCATATTCTTTTGATATCCTCATAATCCTTAAATTTGTTAGGGGTTCAAAAGATGCTTTCTATATCTAAAGCCTAGACTTTTATACCAAAGCTGAAAATCATGAACATTTAAGCATAACAAAAACTGACCACAGCCTTCAGTATTCTCAAGCTAAGAGCCAGCTCAAGACTGGGGACTTCCCACAGGGCAATGGGATATTTGTCTGGTCCTTTGAGAGGTATTGCTGAATTTTGAGACTGTTTTCTTTTATGGAGTTTTAATTGATGTTTTCTGTTCCCTGTATCACCATAGTATGCCATGTATCCTTCCCCCTCCCCCTCCCTGAGAGCCATCCCATATGACAAATGTGCTTGGTTGGTTGGTTTAAGAGAAGGGGAAAATCAGCATAACCAAGTCTGAAAATATGGGGAATGTATAATACCTGTAGATTCCCCCACTTCCACCAATGGGTAGGTTGGAGGTGTCTTCTCATATGTCTTCATTTGAATCTCACTTGATCTTTATAATTTTGTTACATTTATTTTTCATGTTTTGGTGTGTCATTGTTCTTTCCATTTACATTGTAGTTACTGACTTTGGGGGTTTTTTTGAGGGGATGGGAGAAAGTGGCAATAGTTGGACAATTAAACTTTGCAAGATTTCTCTGGGGTCTGTGTATTCACTTGGTGGATGTTGTCCAACTAACACCACCACAATTTCTTCCTCTCCCCTCCCCTGCCAAAATTAGCAATGTTTTCAGATGAACCAAACTGGTTCCTAATGCAGCATGAAGACATTATCCCAGCAGTCCAGAAACTCCTACTGTCAGTCATATATAATTATATATATATATAATATATATGTATATATGTGTATATATATATATACACACACACACATGTGTGTGTATGTGTGTGTGTGTGTGTGTGTGTGTAATACCAGCAATGTTATACTCCTCATGGTAAAAGTCTGAAGTTAACAGTTTAAAATATATAAGCAAAATAAAATATATAAGCAAAAAACACTCTGGATCCATGATTCCATCCCAGTGGGGAAACTTCTTTCAGAGTTGTAAATTGGCAAATTGTTTACAATTAAAGAGTAGCCTGAAGGAACCAGGAAGGTCCCAGAGTCAATGTGTCAGAGGCAGTATTTAAACCCATTCTTCCTGACTCCAAGGCCAGCCCTCTATCTATTACCAAAATCCATACTTACTTCCATAGTTCTTCCTTGTTCTACATAGTATTTTTATAAAATTGTTCCTTTGCATACCCATTCCTCACAGAGGTGGGGACTTGAAAGGGACTCTTCTGACAAGGACATAGGTATTGTATAGATAGAACAACTATGTGTGGAGTGGTGTGAAAGGCAGCCTATGTCAGGATGGTATCTATTAGATGAACGGAAGAGGGAAAGGAAGGAGAGAGGAAGGAGGGGAGAGAGAGATGGAAGAAGGAGAGAAGGAAGAGAAAGGGAAGGAAAGAAGAAAGTGAAGGAAGGAGGAAAGGAAGGACGAAATCATGGAATCATAAAATTCAGGGGTTGGAAGGGATTTCAGTGGCCATCCCATAAACAAAAGGAAACCATACCATAAGGTACCCAACAGAAAAGGAAGGAAGAAAGAAAAGGGGAAGGTAAGAAGGAAAAAGGAGGAAAGAAAAAAGAAGGGAGGAAAGAAGGGGAAAAGAAAGGAAAAGGGTGATAGGGATGTTCAGGTGAGGAGTGGAGAAAGAAGGAAGAAAAGGAAGGAAGGATGGGAGAGAAGGAAACAGGGTGGAAGAGTGAGAAAGAACAGGAAGGAAGTAAAGGAAAAAGGGGAAGATGAGGTAATGGAAGAATGAAGGAATATTGAGGGAATAAAGGAAAGAAGGGAAGGAGAAAAAGGAAGAGGAAGGAAAGAAGGAGGAAAGGAAAGAAGAAGTACAAAGAAAAAAACTAGGGAAGGAAGAAAAAAGAAGGAAGGGAAGAAAAGGCAAGGGAAGACAAGGGAAGGGAGACGAGATGCCTCCTTGAATTTGGTAGCACAATAATATCGGAGCTGATAAATCCAGCAATTCCCTGGCACAGTCATAATAGGACTCACGTCTGATTCAAATCTGCATCCTGCGCTGCCAGATCTTGACCTGGATAGAAAAGTAGGTTTGACAGACAGTGGTTCAGGTTTGTCACTGGCGAGTGGTCGGGGTCGAATAAATTCAGCAATTACAGAATGACTTCCAGAAGTACTGTCCTGACCTGGCCATGAAAATAAAATAAAAAAAAATAGAGAAAAATAAAATAAAATCTGAAACACACATGTATACACACTCACAGAGGCCAGAGAGACATGCATGTGAACATGGGCATTAATGACAGCAGACCAGTTCTGTTGGGCTGAGTGGAGGAGTGAGGAGGCTGCATCCATAGTGGCTGCCATGACATTCTCTCTACCTCAGACATGAATTTCAATCCAATCAGCAATTATCAAGTGCCTTCTATGGGCCAAGCACTGTATTTGTAAGGCAGGAAGAGTGAAGAGAACTTTGAGGAGGCCTAAAGTGAGCTGGGGAAAGAAGCTCTTGTTGAGTAGAGGTGGTTCACCATAGTGTTCAGATCCAGTGTCACCTTGGGTGCAACACTCCAGCTCCCCTAGCTTCATTTTCTCCACCTATATAATGGGGGTAATAATCCTACCTTAGCTCTCGGGGTTGTTGTAAAGATCAAGTGAGATAATACATTTCAAGGGCTTTGCAATATTGGCTCTTGATCACAATAAAAAACCAGGCTCAATCCCCACCAGAGCCTCCCAGGAATCCTTCTCCTGAAGGCAGCACAGTATAGTATGGATGGAATTTAACTGGATCGTGAGAAAGAGGGCATGGATTAAATCCTTCCTTCGATGTTTGCTACCTCTAAGGTCTTCAGCAAGTTATTTCATTCCCTCACTTAATTTTCCTCATTTATAAAATGAAGAGATAGGTATTGGTGAGTTTAAGGTCCCTTTTAGCTCGAAGTCTTTGAAGCTATGATAAGAGTTATTATTCCCCTGGGTGGGAGACTTCCTTTGAGGGGACCTGATATTTCCTTAGAGATGGGATCTTTTTTCATCTCCTCCTAATCAGGGACCAAGTGACTTTCTGGGTCCTGGGTAAGAGGCAGTTGAGATGTGGTTCGATTGTATGAGGGGGTTAGGGATGGGGGTGGAAAAATATGGAGAGTGATTAAATTCATTTCCGTCATATATACATGCTTCTAAAGAATTCCCACAGATACAGACAACTCATATTCTTTCTCCCACTCATTCAAGGTTCAGCTCAAGTATCATCTAATCCATGAAGCCTTTCTTGGTAACTCAAAGTGTCTTTCCTTCTTCTGACTTCATATGGTCTATGCCACTCTTCTGGAACTTACCATATAGTGTCTATTATTTTTATCTATTTCTATATTGTGATATCCCTTCCTTACAATCTCAGGGAAATGATAAGCTCCCTGAGGGAAGGGAGTGTGTCATCCACCATGTTTAGTAAAGTACCTCACACTCATCTGAAACTTATCATGGAGTGTCTCTTATTTTTTATCTGTTTATCTGTCCATAGATATCCTCTCCCCATTGAGATTATAAGCCCCCTGAGGGAAGGGAGTGTGTCATTTGTAGTGTCTAACATAGTTTCACATTCATCTGAAACTTGCTATGGAGTGTCTCTTGCTTCTTATCTCTCTCTCTCTCTCTCTCTCTCTCTAGATATCCTTTCTTCAATGAGATTGTAACCTTCCTAAGGGAAGGTAGTGCATCCTCCACAGTGTCTAGAATAGTGCTGAGTAGGTGTCTGAAACTTACCATGGACTGTCTCTTATTTTTGCCTATTTATATATTGAAATATCTTCTCCCCATTGAGATTGTAAGCTCTCTGAGGGAAGGGAGTGTGCCTTCTCCATGGTGTATAGCAAGCACATGGTGAGTGCAGAGAAGGCATGCAACAGGGTCATAGAAGGATCTCAGAGGACAGAGTAAGTGTCTGAGACCAGATTAGAACTCAAGTCCTCCCGACTTCAGGGCAGTTGCTCTAGCTGCTATGCCACCTAGCTGCCCCTTAAACTGCCTTGTAAGGCCCTTTACAGCTCTAAATCCTAGGATCCTATGACCTGGGTTCAAATTCTGTTTCTGTCCCCTTTCTGGGCTTTGATTTACTCATCTGAAAAATGAAAAGGTTTAAACCTACCACCTTCTAAGATCTAGCCCTAAATCTATGACCTCACAATTGGCCACAGATGTTTGGATATTCAATTCAATTCAATAAGCATTTATTAAGTACCTACTATGTGCAAGACAAATAAAGGCAGCGCAGAGCAGTGGAAAGTTGGTTTTGGAGTCAGGAAGCCCTGGGTTCAGCCTCTGACACATGCTGGGATGTGACCCAGAGCAGATCATTTAAATTCTCAGTGTCCTCACGCAACTCTCTAAGGATGAGTTGCAGGGAAGACTGATCTGTATTGGGAAAAGAATTTTGTTTTTCCTTTCTTTTTTTTTTAATCAATCAAATTAATCAATCAGGGTTAAGTGACTTGCCCAGGGTCACACAGCTAGTAAGTATCTGGAGCTAGATTTGAACTCAGGTACTCCTAGTTCCAGGGTAGGTATTCTATCCACTGCACCACCTAGCAGCCCCGTGAGGGAATTTTCTCAATGGAAGTTCCTGATAGCAATGAAATCCACATTTAAGAGAATGTTTAAGGTGCTATGTTTGGCACTGTAGGATACAAAGGTGCTTATACTCTTCTGGGAAAATACAACAGATCACCAGGTAAGTGCATATAAGATAATTTGAAGAAGGTGATAGTACTAATAACTAGGGGGATCAAGAAATGCTATGGTTAGGGGGTGGCACCTGTGGTGAGCCTTGAAGGATGCAAGGAATTGTAAGAGTCAAAGGAAAGGAGGGAGAGCATTCCAGGAAGGGCCGTGGGGGGCACAGCTGGTACAAAGGCCCAGTGGCTGGAGATGGGAGGCTGACTTCAAGGAACATCCACCACACCAATTTGGCTGGAACATAACAGTTCTGGAAGAGTAATTATTATAAAATTATGTTTGAAAGGTAGGCTAGAGCCAGACAGGGAAAGGCTGTAAATACCAAACCAAGTTCTATTCTAACGTCCTCCCAACTGCCCTGGTTGGGGCAGTTGCTGTTGATTATTTTTCATTTCATTGAACTTCTCTGAGTTGTGCCTCATGGCATCCCTTCTACCCTCCTCAGAGGCTGTGCTGGCCTCCTGGCCTCTGCCAGCCTGCCTGCTGGGCAGCTAACCCCGCTCAGCTTGGGCTGATACCCAGCACCATTTCTTCCCCATCTGGGGACATCTCAGCCTGAGTCCTGTTACCCTGCATGTCAGTAAAAGAGATGCTGGATCATCACTTTTCCTTATTCAGGACCATAGATGTGAACCTCAGAGATCGTTTAGCCCAAAAGGCTTTTTGTAGCAGCAAAGCTTGATGTAGAAACTAGTGTTAGCTTCTAACTCAGGAGTGGAAGGAAGGAAGGAGGGAGGGAGGGAAGAAGGAAAAATGGAAGAAGGAAGGAAGGGACAGAGGAAGGAAGGAAGAGAAGGAGGAAGGAAGCTGGAAGGGATGGGGGGGAGAGAGAGGGAGAAGAGAAGGAAAGGAGGAAGGAAGGAAGGGAGGGAGGGAAGAAAGGTGGGAGGAAGGAAGGAAAGAGGGAGGGAGGGAAGAAGAAAAAATGGAAGAAGGAAGGAAGGGAGGGAGGGAAGAAAGGTGGGAGGAAGGAAGGAAAGAGGGAGGGAGGGAAGAAGGAAAAATGGAAGAAGGAAGGGAGGGAGGAAGGAAGGAAGAGAAGGAGAAAGGAAGCTGGAAGGGATGGAGGGGAGAGAGAGGGAGAAGAGAAGGAAAGGAGGAAGGAAGGAAGGAAGGGAGGGAGGGAAGAAGGAAAAATGGAACAAAGAAGGAAAGAAGGAAGGAAGGGAGGGAGGGAATAAAGGTGGGAGGAAGGAAGGAAAGAGGGAGGGAGGGAAGAAGGAAAAATGGAAGAAGGAAGGGAGGGAGGAAGGAAAGAAGAGAAGGAGGAAAGAAGCTGGAAGGGATGGGGGGAGAGAGAGGGAGAAGAGAAGGAAAGGAGGAAGGAAGGAAGGAAGGGAGGAAGGAAGGAAGAGAAGGAGAAAGGAAGCTGGAAGGGACGGAGGGGAGAGAGAGGGACAAGAGAGGGAAAGGAGGAAGGAAGGAAGGAAGAAAGGCAGGAGGAAGGAAGGAAAGAGGGAGGGAGGGAAGAAGGAAAAATGGAACAAAGAAGGAAGGAAGGAAGGAAGGGAAGGAGGGAGGAAAGGAGGGAGGAAAGAACAAAGGAAGGAGGGAGGAAAGAAGGAAGAATGGAAGAAGTCAGGGAGGGAGGGGAGGAAGGAGAAAGGAAGATTCATTTAGCGAAGTGCTTTACAAATATCTGCATTTAATCTGCACAAGGACCCTGGAAGGGAAGTGTTTAAAGACTTTGAACTAGAAGGAATGTTTGAGGCCATCAAGTCCAATTCTCTCAGTTTTACAGATGTAGAAACTGAGGCTCAGGGAGGTTAAGTGACTTACCCAGGGTCACACAGCTAGCTAAATGTCTCAGCTTGGAGAGTCCTAGAGTGCAGCCTGGGACAAGTTATATGACTTGCCTGGGGTGCCACAGCCTCTGTATGTCAGAGGCAGGACCTAGACCCCAGTCTTCCAGTCTCTGAGTCCAGTTCTCTGTCTACTATGTCATAAGGCCCCTTACAGGGCACTTGTGAGAATAAAGTAAGATAAAGTATACAAGGTATTCTGCAAACCTTAAAATACTATGTAATTATCAGCTATTAGTAGTTGTTGTTTTTTTTAACAGATGAGGAAACTGAGGTTCATAGAGGCTAAGTGATTGACACAGGCTCATCTAGAGCCTGGATTTGAACCCAGGTCCTTGATTTCAAATCCAGTGGTTCCTCTCCCACCCCTTCCCCCACATTGGACCATATGAGATTCTGTCCTTTGTTTAAACAGGTTAAACCACTTCACAATGCAAAAAAGCAATGAGTCTGTACAGGAAATGTTTGCTGTGAACGTCTGTGTGGCCAGAGCTCAGATCCTGCTGGTTTTCCCAATAGGGATCCCCGTATAATCGTGAGATCTTGAGAACTGGTCTTCCTCATAGAGAGGATATTTTGAGAGATTTGCTTTGAGAAATTGTTATTAAAAATATATGTATCTCAATATTGCTATGACCATTCAGAGG